AGATCGTGACGTTTCGACTGCTTACTGCTAGTCTTCTTCAGGCGATAAGGTTGACTGATTGCACGGTATCATTTATATCACAAAGGTCAGCTGTGATTCATGCATTTCGATCCTCCTTTTGTTCCATTGTTCCGCGAGTAGCTGTTCCCTCAGTGGTCCGCTGTTGTACCGTTCTCCTCTTGTTGTGTTTTTTGCCATGCAATCAGTCGACCTTATCTCCTGTAGAAGACTAGCAGTAAGCAGTTGAAACGTCGCGATCTACATCTCAAGTGACTCCATCTTGAGAATTGGAGAGCTCGCCACGATCATGTGCATAATTAAAGCAATCAATCAAATGCTTGTCTTCTATTGGCCAAAACACTAAATAAAATTCTACTGTGAGCCCGTCATTCCTAGGAGTTTTGTTCTTTTGGAATGTCTTTAAAGTTTGAAAGCATTCTCCTACCGTTAATTTTTCATCGCATCTTTCTCTTTGGTCCGAGGTCAATTTCGGAAGATGTAAATCCCTCATAAATAAATCTGTCAAAGTTTCACTATTCTCATTTATACTTTTTGTAAAAGTCAGAATAGAAGGAACGAAGTTCTTTCATAATCACTCGAGGTTTTGATGTTGAGGATTCATCTTCCTTAAATATCCTCCGAATTGAACTTTTCTTACCTCTGGAATTTTCTAAATTTAAAAAATATGTGTTGCTTTTTTCTCCTTGCTCGTACCAGGTGGCTCAGGTTCGTATTATTGCCCCTTGGGTGATGTAATCATTCTGGAGTTCAAACTCTGTCTTCAAAACCTCAAACGTGTTCATATTTTCTGGCGAAGGATCTTGATCACACATTTTTTGACAGTCATTGAGCTTAGATTCTAATGCTACCATTTTTGACCGTCACTCTTTGGCTTTCAGTTTACTGTAAGAAATACTTTCTTGGCGAATTCTATACTTCATCAGATCCCAGAAAAGCCTCGGATCTGTAACTTCTTTGAATTCATTGTTCCATAATGGGTATTTCATATTAATTAAAGACACATAATTATTCCTTATCATCTAACAAGCTTTAATTAAGCTTCCAAAATGAAGGACCATGGGATCTAATCTCAATTCCATTTATAGATAGCGCAATTGCTGAATAATCAGGTTTAAGCGATGGAATGACATCAACATTATCAATATCTTCTTGCATACCATTGCTTACTAGCCAGAAATCGAGCGTCCTTTGGATCACGGGCGTCTTCTGACACCATGTAAAACGTTTTACATTTGGGTTTCTAATCCTCCATATATCAATTAAATCATTAGCAAGGCAGATGTTCTCAATGCACTTAACCGATTCTTTTCGTTTTGGGTTTCTGCCATTTCCATCCAGATCAGGGTCAAAAATGACATTAAAATCACCACCGATTACAATGTTACAATCATCCGCTAGACAAAAGTTATCCAATTCTTCACAGATCTCGTCAAAAAATGTAGAATGCTCGTTTGTTTTGTTTGGGGCATACAAGTTAACAAAGAGAAAGGGATGATCCTGGACATTTGCTTCTAAGATGATGAAACGCCCGTTTTTATCCACTTTTATAGTTTTAAGTTCGAACTCTAAAGAATTCTTAATTAGAATGAGGACACCCCTACTATGTTCCATACCATGCGAGAAAACATTCCCCCT